ATTGATCATCTCGACATCAAGATGCATGGACATCAGAAAAAAATGGATTTCATATTTTGGGAATAGTTTATTTTGTAACGCATTTCTGGACCGTCAATTTTCAAGATTTTAAACTTTTCATATATCTGTCAATCGACACTATTTTCGAAGCTTTAAACTTTATAAATAAAGATGAAAATATATTTTAAAGCTATCAAAAAGATTTCCAGTATTGAAACCACGTTTCTAGACACTATTTGAAGGTAGGCTCCAATTTGATTGTTTAGAGCCTAGGCTCTATACAAACCGCACTCATTAAATAATTGCATGAATAATATGTTTTTTCTATTTTATGTGTTAAATCACTGTAATTTTGATGTGAAGGTTTTACCTAGATTTTCTTTTACCTTGATGATAGTTTTACTTATTCCTTGGAATGTTAAGTGCTCAAGATATTAAAGGGTCAATGCAATAATTCTTTCTACTTCATTTCCTATTTGTAATTTTTTAGATGATCATTTTTTAATATTCTTTGGATGAAGAATTTGAAATTCCAAATATTTAGTCTACATAATTGTAAATTAATCTTGCTTTTGTGTATGTATCCACAATTTCCACTTCTTGTAAATGTATTCAAGTTTTACTTTGTTGCTTTTGTATGAATTTTAGGATTAGGCGATAAGTTGATACTTCATAGTTAAGGGTTGTAGGTGAAAATCTCTTCCTCGAGTTCAAGTAAACAAGCTGATCTGGGTTGGAAATATTGATATTGTCCCAGCCCTGGTGACAAGAATATGATAGCTTGCAAATTTTGCAAAACGGAGCATAATGTTGGCATTAATAAATTAAAAATACATTTGGCTGGCAAGAGAGGGGATGTAGTGCCATGTACTTAAGTCCTTGCAAATGTTAGGCAAGATGTTGGTTCTCTTAGAAGGGGTTCGATAAAACAAATAACAGATGGCAAAACAATATAAACACATTAGGGCCTCTTTAAATATTTATGAAATAGATGACTAAGATGGAGATGAAGAGGGAGGGGCCTTCATATCTAGACCAAGTACATTTTTCCTCCTAATCTCTCGTTGTGGTTTGCAAAAGGGAGCCGGTACAGACTAGTCTAGAGTCATTTCAAGAAGCAGGATAGAGACAGGGTTAATGGGTGTTTGACACAATGGTACTTTTATGCAGGTCTCAAGGGGATTTTGTTGAAAAAAGTAGTTGAACTTGCAAATGACGACTTGAAGACCCACAAGGATGCTTGGGGCAGATGTGAGGTGATTGTTATGATAGATACTTGGACCGATAGGATTGCAAAGAGTGGTATGTATTTATTAATTAATTGACCCATGGGAACCCTTTTTATATAAACCATTGACGTTTCTGTTAAGATTTGTGATGCGGCTTTCATATTTAGTGTTATAGATCAATGCATTGTAGAGGTGGGGGAGGTACATGTTGTAGAGGTAGTCACAAATATGGCTAAGGCCAATATGGCAACTGGTAGATTGTTGGAGAGGTTGAGGGTGCACATTTTCTGGACGCTTTGCCAAGTTCATTGTATTGATCTCATGCTTAGAAAAGTTGCCATGAAGAAAGTGGTGTATGAGATATTAGAAAAAGCTGAAGCTATATCAATTTTATTTATAGCCACCACCAATATTTTAGCCATGATGAGGAAGTTTGCAGATAGAATTGACTTGGTGAGGCCTGGGGCAAAAAGGTTTGCCACTTCATTATTGTCTTTGGATTCTTTGGCGAAGCGAAAAGGCAAGATTCGACCCATGTTTGTCTCCTTAGATTGGAAGGAGAGCAAGTGGTCTAAGGAGACAAAGGTAAGATGGTCCATGACATAGTTATGCCATCGAGGTTGGAGTGGGGTTCAGTTTTGCCTCCATATTTTTCAGCTACTTGTGAAAGTGCTTCATCTTGTTGATAGTGAAAAGGAACTGGCAATGGGGCATATTTACAATGCAATGGAGGTTGCAAGACAAGAAATCAAGCTGAACTTGAAGCAAGATGAAAGCAATTATGACCCTTTTTTGAAAATTGTTGATGACTAGTGGAAGATGTAGTTGGAGAGACCCCTACACCTAGCATGGTATTCTCTCAAGTTGGAGAGACCCCTACACCTAGCATGGTATTCTCTCAACCTTACTTATTTCTATTCTGATCCTGAGATAAGAGGGAAGGGGTTCTTTTATGGGAGATTTAACGAGTGTAATGTGAGGTTCCACCCTCGACTCAGATGTTCACGACAAACCTTATGACCCCCGCCTGATGAAGTTAGCCCCATCTGAAGACTTGCTCATCATGACTAAACCATTGGTGTGGCTATGAATAAAAACTTCTACAGCTTCAGCTTTTTTTAATCTCATGCACCGCTTTCTATGTGACAATTTTTTTAAGTATGCGATTGATACAATGAGTTGTGCAAGGCGTCCAAAAAATGTGCAGCCTCGACCTATATAACAATCAACCAGCTGCCATATTGGCATTGGCCATATCTGTGACAACTTGCACAACATGTGCTTCCCCCGCCTCCATAATGCAATGATCTACAACACTAAATATGAAGGCCGCATCATGAATCTTATTGGATGTGTCAATCTCCTTTAAAAAAAAACGTTCCCATGGGAAGATTAATTAATAAATTCATAATGCTCATTGATCTCCTATCGGTCAAAGTATCTGTTATAACAGTCACCCCACATAATCCCTAATCATCCTTGTGGGTCTTTAAGTCGTCATTGTTAGTTCCACCACTTTCTTCAACAAAGGTCCCTTGAGCTCATAAGGTGTAGGGGCCCTATATGCTGTGCCAAACTGACTACCTCTAATATAGTTTTGAAACTCCTCAAACTGGCAGTATTAAATGGTATACCTGCTTGAGAGTACCATCGAGCTACATACTGATTAACCCTTTCTCTATTCTACTACTTCAAATGACTATCTAGACTAGTCTGTACGGGCTCCCTTTTGCAAACCACCACCTCGGGTTTAGGTGGGGGGAAGAATGTATCAATAGGTCCCATTCTTTGAGGTCTCTTATGCCCAAAGGTACTTGGTCTAGCTATGGAAGCTCTTCCATCTTTATATTCATCTTCTTCATCTATTACATAGATATTTACAGATGCCTTAATGCCTTCATATTGTTTGGTTGTCTGTCTTCTAAAAGATCCAATATTTCTTTCCAAACCTCCAGGCACTTGAGTACATAGCGATACTTCTATCTCTTGCTGGCCAAATGCATTTTTAATCTATAATGCCAACATTATAATTTGTTTTGGAAATTTTGCAAGCTATCATATTCTTGCCATTAGGGGGACACTATCCATATTTTCAACCCGGATCTGCTTGTTTAATTAATATATATTATATAATATAAATTACATTAATAAGATAAATATAAATGTATAATATATTATATAATATGATATAATATTATAATATTTCAATTAAAGACCATGTTTGGTTTTTGGTTATTTTGGAATTCAATTAAAAATGTAGGTAAAATATAAAATTGTTTGTCTCTTTGTGACAATTTTGATAAATTTCTCTCTTTTATTTGTGTCTACGTGTATGTCTATGTGCCCCTTGAGGGGTTGGTGGTGTAGGTATTAGATTGAAGATCAAATCATATGAACTACGAATAAATTTTATATCCCCCCCCCCCGAGTTGAGGGAGCTACCTTGGCACTCTGTCGTGCCCAACCAACTCTGGTGCGTCTGAGTCTACTCGCTCAAGGCGGCAAAACCCTGCAGTTAGCAAATAAAAAATTTGTAATAATATATAAAGTTTTAAATTGAGAAATAGAAGAATAGGGAAAAGGAAAAAAAAGGAGAAATATGTAAAAAATATTATAAGGACAACTTTGCAGACTCTGCACTGTGACAGTGCACTTATCGGTCGATTTTTGGAACAAATCAGCACTTAGTGCACTAATCGGCCGATTAGTGCGATTAGTCTGCCGATTAGTGCACTGAAAAGAATTTCAATTGCATATGTGACTCTTGGAATCGGGCCTGATCGGGATTGGCCAATGATTGATCCCTAGTTAGTCGGCCTATTTTTTTAAAATCGGCCGATCTTTTAAATACTAGGATGAATATCCTTTGATTTTGTGAGCATTCAAGGAGGTTGAATTTTTTTTTTTATTCTTGACAAATCTTCGAATCTTGTTTCTTAGAAGGTTTTTCTCTATGTAAACCTCAATAGAAAGTCTTGAGGGACAATAATGGCCCACAAAACCCTTTCCCACCTTTTTTAGGTTGGAAAATGTCAAAAATACCCATTGGCCAGGGTATTTTCTGTCTTCAACCTCGAATTTTTGAGGTGGGGCCTAGGCGAGTGCCTTAGTACACTCGTCCTAGGACCTACCACTTAGACCACACCTAGGTGGTTTGAGAAATGGCTGCCTAAGTGGCCAGGCGGCAGAATTTTTGTACATTGCCCATAAGAAATGGATCATAAGTATTACTTGTAGAGAATTCACTTTTCTAATATATACTTTCGATGATACTTGGAATGAATCTATTTTGTGCGTGTGCTCATGTCTGTATTGCTGTTTCCTTGCTTTAATTGAATTTCAATTGTGAACAATGGAAGGGTTAAGGGGAAATTGGCAGTGCTTTGTGGCTTGAGAGTTGAGATGCATGAGAAAGTTGAATTACTTCCAAGACCTCTTGCTTCAAGTTGTGGACTGATACTTCCGACATAAAAAATCATGCTACTTATATATAAAAATAGCAATGATGAACATGGATCTTTTTGTATTGCATTTTCTATCAAAGTGATGCTAGATTGTATTACTAATTGATTCCTCATATCCCACCAAAGTACATATATTCCTTTCTATTAATGATATGAACTAAAACTAGAATGTTTTCCTACGGTATTTTTTAGATCCTTAGATCTTTGCAAATGGAAAAGAAATATGAAATACGGGCAGTATCTTGACATTCAGCTTAGAATGACTTGGGATATATGAGTACTCATATTGAGCCCTTCACATTTGCAGGAGTTGAAGCGAATGGGGACACAACCTAAGGATATTTATGTCATGGTAGGGGATTTTTCTCGCCGAGTCAGGATTTCTCATTCTTCGTCTCTTTGTTTTTTCCCTTTAAAAACATGATTGCCAAGTTGTTCCGTCTGCCGTTACAGTTCCTATTTAATCTTTCTTTTAACTAATACATATGCTGATGAACTCAACCCCCTCTCTCTCTCTCTCTCCCTCTCTCTCCCTCTTTCAGTACCCCCTCCACCCCAAAAAAAAGAAAACACCCCAGATACATGCATGCATGGAATCACACATATGCAGTCATCTCAATGGAAGATCAGGGCTGCCAGGAAGGGTCTTCTGTCAGGCACCCTGCCTTTGTGAAAATGAAATCTAGTATGTAAAAATTTAAGTACATTTTTCTGAACTTCTTTTTAAATGCATTTTCCTTAGAAAAATAATCCAATTTCTTTACTACAAAAGTATTTTTCAGGAACCCAGGAAACGACACATTTAAAAGTTTCTTGAATGTCATAATTCAAGCACGTATGCAGTGAGAATACAGCAGCTATGTACTCCTGGGAAAATTCACTGTAGAAAAGCATTTGATGATGTTCCTCCCTAAGGGCCATGGTATATGGTCCCGTCTAAATTATTATTTCTGCTGATATTGTTCATTAATGCTCATTTGCAAAAGGGAAAAGTCTATATAGAGCCGAGGCTCTAAACAATCAAATTAGAGCCCACTTCAAAAATTTCACTAGAAGTGGTTGTTTTGATACCCAAATATCCTCAAATTAATCATCTCGACATCAAGATTCATGGACATAGAAAAAAATGGATTTCAAGTTTCGAAAATAGTGCATCTTGTAATGCATTTATGGACTGTCTTATGTATCTGTTTGATCTACACTATTTTTTAAGCTTTAAAATTTATAACTAAATATAAAAATATATTTTAAAACTATCACAAAGATTTTCAATATTCAAATAACCTTCTTGGCATTATTTGAAGGTGGGTTTTACTTTGTACAAACCACACCCTTTTCAAAAGCACTCCCTGCATTTTTCTTTGAAAGGAAATAATTGTTTAATTTGGAGACTTTCAGAACGAGTAGTCTTTGGAACATTTTTTGTTTTATTTTTATATTTTTTAAAAACGGCAGAATTTTTTGTGAAGAATAGAAATTTGGTTGATTTTCATTCTTATTGATCTTTGACTTTGACGTCGTTGAAATCATTATTTCTTTGAAAATCTTGGTAGAATTTAAGCCATAAGAATGTGTTTTTCATTCAAAGGTGTTTAAGATTTCAGCTTTTTCGTAGCGGTATCCACGTGTGCAATCAAATAATCTGAACCTAATAACCTATTTGCATACAACTCTTTCAGATGTGTCCAGTTGGGTGTGGTTAGTGAAAAGAAGGCGTCTGTAATCTAGCACCTTTTTATTTTATAAATTGGACAAATTTATATAGTAGCGGGGCCCTAAACAATCAAATTGAGGCGCATCTTAAAATTTCATTAAAAAAGGTTGTTTTAATGCTGATAAATCTATAATTCACCTCAAAATGTATAGATATAACAAAAATACCTTTTATTGGAAATAGTGTACTGTGTAGTGCATTAAAGTGTCTATAGATTTGTTCGATCTACACTAATTTTGAATTTTAAATTTTTGTAATTAGAGATGAAAATAAATTTTCAGGATATCATGAAGATTTCACTTGTCTTCAACGGGAATGCGGTCGCCACTTTCAAGTTTGGAAATTGGAAATCTGGATTTTAGGACCCAGAGGCCTGTTTAATGGCGTTTCTAAGAGACCTTTGGGACCTCTTGTTGAAAAGCTCCTTGTAGTTTTGGGGCTTTAATCCACCCGGGACAAAAATTACTCAAAATGGTAATGAGTTTGGCATTGCGGGGAGAGAAATCTAGGGGATTTAGGTACCCAACATCTACATGGTAGAATTTCCCTGCAAAACAAGAGATTTGAAAACTCATTGTTTGGCCTTACGTGTTTATAGGTGTGAGAATATCTCCAATCTAGTCCAACTATCCAGAAATGTTTACCAGAAGATGAGAATTCGAGAGAACATAATATGGAATATGTGAATTCCCTCACATTTGAAAATTTCCTTCATTTTGTCTGTCATGACACATGTAGTACTAGTAAAGGAGGGAACTGTAACTATCAACCACTGCTATTTCTTTCTGAAAGGCCCAGACCTGGTTGTTTTTGTTCTGCAATGTGTTTCTATGTATGTCATATAGTTGAGCTTGAAGTTTGGTTAGGGTTATATGTTTTCAACATGGTAGATAACAATAATGTCTCAAAAAGGACCCTAATGTCTCCCTCCCTAGTTTTAGGCAACATGAATTATTTACCTCTAAGAAATAGCAGCTAAATGCTTTGAACTATTTGTTTTGTAATAAGGCCAGTCATAGACTTACAAACATGAATTATTTACCTCTAAAAGATCAGCTAAATGGTTTGAACCACTTGTTTTATAATAAGGCCAGTCATAGACTTAAAAACATGCTGAAGTTTTTTCAGAATATATAAAGGGTGTGGTTTGTATAGAGCCTAGGTTCTAATCAATCAAATTAGAGCCTACCTTCAATAGTGTCGAGAAATGTGGTTTCAATACTGAAAATCTTTGTGAGCCTTAAAATCGATTCAACTTTCTTTCTTCAAGCAGTCTTGAATTTACTCATATGATCCAAATCTCTCTAAAATTCCCAAATAAATTAAATAAGAGTATATTTAAGAAGAAAATATATTTTTTAGACTTTTCAGCCGATCCTAAATTCAGCCAATTGATGCGGAATTTTAGGGAAAAAGTGAAACAAAATAAACTGGATTCCAATCTCATACCCAAAAATAAACACGTACAAAAAACTATTTTTCTTGTATGCCTAAAGGAAAAACTGTTTTTCTTGTAGGCCTAAAGGCAAACGAAAAAAAATCGTTTTCCCCTCAAAATCCAACCGAACCAGAACATATCAACCGTAAGAAAATAAAAGCGTCCAAAAAAATAAAAGAATTATACTCAACATTCAAAATTGTGAAAGCAATCTCCCATGGATAAAACAATTCTCCTTGTGATAATAAAGGGTGTCCTGGATTTTTACCATTTCTTAAGGGATACTTGCAAAAATAATTTTCTGTTTTGATATAGCACAAGTATGTATGACAACGTTTGCCAGTCAGAGAATCCTGGTTCTTTTTGCCCGAGAGAGAGACAGAGTGTTCAAGGGATAGAGAGAGAGAGGAGTTTGGACGAAAAGGAAACCTCATTTGTAAAGAGAGAGAGAGGGGGAGAGGAAGAGGGAGTTTATAAAGAGAAAAAAACTGATTTGTAGAGAGAGAGAGACAACGAAGAGAGAGGAGTTTGCATGGAGAGGACAACTGAGAGAGCTTCTCTAAGGCGAGCCATTCATGATTATTTCCCATCCGTTACATTTTTTTATTCCCAATTTTACTGCATTTTAATCTACATTTTATAAATATATTCTATAACATTGACACATGTTTATGGTTTTTGTGATTAGTGATAAACTAAGGATGTGCCACCTCATATGACTAAAGAACTTAGACACTTCTTAATATTTATTCCATAAAAACATTGTATATAATTAGACCTCTTACGTTTGGTGTATGGAGGTCACAATTACTTATAACCTTCCAATGTGAAATCTGATAGTTTGGGTGTGTCACAAAGTTCGACATATTTTTTTGAAAATTTTGGGCTTGATTAATGAAATTAATGCAGCCATCCAATTACACATCCAATAGTTAAAAAAAATGAAGAAAAAGAAAAAGAAAAACACTAGAAGATGGGATTTTAGTTGCGACTTATAGTGAGTACACATATATAGTACTGGTCTCGATACTTTGAACATAATGCTTCTATTTTATTTAACTTGTGGAATAGGCAACAGAAAAGTAAAGTGATTAGTTTTCTGTGGAGATATTTTCCCATGCCATTTTTATGAGTATTCTCACACTATGTCGATTTATTCCTACTGTCTTTTATCATGAAACAAACGATGAAGGCTCCCAAATCCCATTGGCCTGCCCATTCACTAGTTGCTTAGGGTTTTTACTTTTTGAAATAAGAGGACTATATGTCTAAACATAGTATTAGGCGAATGTGACGACTATGTGACTAAAACAATAGTATGAAACATGGGAGGTGACCATTCAAGGTGAAAATTTGAAATTAAAATTATGTTACATTATTTTTTTTTAACAATGAGATCAATAACCAATAATGGTAAACTTTATTTTTCATTATTTTTTATCTCATCGATAGCTAAAAAATTCCAATTATTATAAGACTACTAGTTGTTTTTGCCAAATGACAATATGTTTTACATACTCGAGTTACCGTATTCCTCATTAGAAGTTTGAGTGCGAAATCACAGAGAAATTTTCACTCATCGCAATCTCCATCAATAAGGGATCACGTGGCAAAAGCATTTCACTGTCTGTTGTCTGATTTTATTTATTTATTTTTGTGTAAAAAAGCTATATTATGTGATTTTTGTATTTTTGTGTGGTTTTCTGATTCTATGGAAGTTTCTAAGCAGGAATTTAATAAAAGCCAAAAGATATTGTACTACTCCTGTGGGAGTATACTATCCATTTGCTCCTTAGTTAAACCCATTGAGGTTTAATTTTAGGATCCCAAATTTAGGGGATTTAACTTCTTTAACCCACAGGAGTATACTATCCATTTGCTCCTTAGTTAAAACCATTGAGGTTTAATTTTAGGATCCCAAATTTAGGGGATTTAACTTCGTTAACCCATGGATTAACCTCAAGGAAAAAAAAATCTTAATTACATCCTTTATGTACTTTAATAAAATAATAGCAAAGTATACGAAAAGACCATTTACTTTTCGTACAAAGAAGTCATAATCACCATTGTCTGTCAGATTTTAAATCTTGTGATTGTAAGTGTGTCATTAACTAGATATAAAGTTCAAAACAAAATAATTGTCATTGTGACACACCCCAAACCATCCAGGTTGATATCTAATTGCTAGGCAAGATTGTGACCTCTTTGTAACAATGGTAAATGGTCTTATAGTATGCAATTACTAAAATAATATCTCCAAATTGAATAGAAACCATTCAATTTTTAGAAAGTGAGATTTAAGTATTACGAAACTCAAAGTTCAATTATTTTCTTTTGAGAATGATAATC